CTAGGGCTTAATTTTTCTTTGCAGGCAAAATGCATTAAAATGACAAAACCCAATAAACGTCCATTTTCTAATGTTAATCATTCTTTATTCTGAAAAAACATGGTCTGCAAAAAAAGGGACATTTTATTGTTAATATCCCAATAAGCAAAAAATTCAAGCTGGATTATGTTTAAGATAAAAAGATAATGAAGTGTTTGACACCGACATGCATGTAAATGTAAAACCTTCTTTTTTTTTTTTTTTCATTATTAATATCATTATTACTGCCAACACAGCGGATGTCTGGTAGATAGAAGTGTCAAACTGTCCACGAGTAGCGTTTCCCTTTGTCTACATTGTGGTCTGTTTGTCTGAGGAACGTGTTGTCACAGATAACCCTAGCTACATTATAAATAGCCTGCGAGTATGCATGCTTTCAGATCAGTTTAAAGGTTTTGGGGGCTTATCAGAAATAAGCAAATGTTATGAATAAACTTTGCAGCACACCAGCAATGACTCCCAAGTGCTCCTACTTTAAAGTTCTGGATACCCTTAGTCCAAACTGAAATGGCCAGTAAGGCAGAACAAGGTGTTTATGAAAAGGGGTGGATAAATGAATGTGGATTTCCCAAGCTAAGAATACAATATGTCATTGATGAAACTTTAAAAAGCTAGTTTTGGTTACCCTTCTTTTCTGGGATATACCGAGACCTATTTATAGGTATGCATCAAATTGTTATAGGGTAGAACAGATACAAGGGTACAAATTTGGTCATGTCTTTATGCAGATTTGTGTATAAAAGAAGCTTTGTTACTTTTTGAACTTGTTCAATTGAACACATTTTCTACAGTAATATGTTCAGTGGTTTCTCATTGCAGATATAGCTGAAACTTGGATAATATAGATGGAAATGCTTGCATATACTGTAACAATAGTGTGTTTCTTGCAGGCATATGATATTTTAACCGTTGCAATGGGGCTACCCCCGCACTGCAAGAGTTATGTGCTCATATGTTCTAGGGAGCTAAAATAAAGATATACTCGCCTGAATCTCAGACCACTACTCAGAAATCTACATGTGCCTTCTTGAGGAGGGGACCTTGCGGGCGCTGCAGGATCTCAATCCATTGCGGTGTATTGTTACAAATGGTTTGTTTGGGGACTGTGGTCTCAACTGCCTCGATATCATTCACTAGCTCCTCCCGTGTAGTTCTGGGCTGATCCCTCACGTTTCTCATGATTATCCTTACCCCATGATGCAAAATTTGTGCATGGAGCTCTATACGGAGGGCAATTGATGGTTATTTTGTATTCCTTCCATTTGCGAATAATCGCTCCAACAGTTGTTTCCTTCTCACCAAGCTTCTTGCTGATAGTCTTGTAGCCCATTCCAGCCTTGTGCAGGTCTACAATCTTGTCCCTAACGTCCTTTTGACAGCTCTTTGGTCTTGCCCATGGTGTTGAGATTTGAATGGAAGAAAGATTCTGTGGACCGGTGCCTTTTATATACATAAATAGTTGTCATTAGGAGCACCTTCTTAAAGTGACAGGACTAATCTGTGTACCACATAGCCAGTCTGTGGGAGGAGCCAGAATTATTGTTGGTTGGTAGGGGATCAAATACTTATTTTACTCGCTGATCTGCAACTCCATTTATAACATTTGTATCGTGTGTGTTTTCTGGATTTTTGGTTGATATTCTCTATCATTTTATGACACCTATGATAAAAATGATAGACCTTTCATTTCTTTTAAGTGGGCAAACGTACAAAATCTGCAGGGGATCAAATCATTATTTTCCTCACTGTATATCTTTGCTGTTTTAGCTGCCTAGACAAAACGAGCGCCTAACCCTTGCAGAGTGGGGGTATACACATTGCAAGGGTTACGATTTCATATGGAGTTCTTCTTTAAGAAAACAGTTGATTGTAAATGTTTACACTGGATAATGGCAGTTCTAATGGTTCCATAACACTGCCCTTT